CTTCGGCATTCTTATTTAGTATTTTACCAAAGTCTTAAGAAACAGGAAAATTTCGTTAAAAAAACAAAGAAAAGAATACTGACCTGGTACATAACAGCAATCCTTCTCAATGGCAGTGAATAGTGGACAATTTCATTACAGGTGAAGAAAAAATAAGCAATAGTAATATTGCTTTATGTTGTGTTGTGGCACAATAGTAAAAATAAGAAAATCAAGTCGAAGTAGGTTTAAAGAACAAGTGTATTTAACATCACAGATACAAAGGTAGGAAACGGGTACTACTCAGCTAGGCAGTTGTAGTACTGTCGCTGCTTACCCCGGGTAGGTATTACTGGCACTATATATAGTGAGAACCGGTGTAATTCCCTTGTGTTAGAGGCCGGTGCAACACTTTACAGAAGGATCTTGCTAATATCATCGACTGAAGATGTGAACAATAAAAAAGCTTTCGAGAAAATGGAAACAAAATGGTCAGTGTATAAGTATAAGTGAAGAGAGTTGATTTTAGCACCATTTCAAAGGCACGAAAAAAGGGCGTATAACCTAACTAACGCCTATGACAAAAGGGAGATGAAAAAAAAAAAAAGGAAGGAAATTTTCTAGTGTCATGAATGCCGACGCTCTGAAGGGACATCAATCTTCTTGTTATTTTAATAACTGGTATATCAATAACAACCTCATGTTACAATAACCTACAGTGCTGTTCAATCACCTGGTTTTTTTTTACTAAATATTCTTTTTCCGATAAAACAAAGTTGAGCTAAATTCAAAGGATTAAGCGATCTAAAATCAAAAAAAGCTTTTTTCCAAAGGTAAGTACTTTCAATCGGTTCAAGTTTAATGTTCTTGGGATGCTTTTTTTTTCATGGGACTGGTTTTCTTAAAACCTATTGAAAAGAACCTCAATAGGTACAAGAGAATTTTAATCTTGTCGGCTCCTTCTGCTGAAATGGTGCAAATCGACCCCAAACCAGTTCCATGAAAAGAAAAGCATCCCCTCAGAACATTGCTCAACTGAACGGATAATGCTTGGTTTTAAGAAACCAGTTCCATGAAAAGAAAAGCATCCCCTAGAACATTATACTGAACGGATGCTTGGCAGTACTTACTGCTAAATTCAAAGAGGTTTCAAAGCTTCTTCTTACGATTTTAGATCGCTTATTCTTTGAATTTAGCTCAACTTTCGTTTCATCGGAGAAGAGGACATTTAGTAAGAAAAAAATCAGGTGAGTCACTTTTATTGAACAGCACTGTATTTTGTTTTAAATACAGCCGACTTACTCCACTTTTTTATTTCACTCAAGATTCAATGTGTTTTATAGACACCGCTTCCTCTGGAGAAACGAAATCACTAACGCTACCGCAAGGAAGAGAACGGATTCCTTAAATATGCGTCCCGCCCTCTGCTAGCGATGACTGCAGTGCTTGAGTCATATTAATCGAACTGAGGATGGTCGCATACCAAAGGATGTTATTTGCGGTGAGCTGAACACAGGACAACGCCCAGTAGGCCTCCGTGCACTGCGCTTTAACCATGTCTGCAAGTGCGACTTACAATACATAGTAATTGATCGAGATAACTGGTGATCTCAGCAGCTCGTGAGAGACTGCCTGTGAATGCTTTCAGGAGACAGAAGTAAAAGTGAAACCATTACGTAGAAGATAGAAGACGAAGCATAGAGTAATGACGGCAAATTCAACTTAATGCTTCAAACACCGATGTTGCAAGCGTTACCTGCGGATGAGATTGACTCAACAATCCGATTTTTGAATGGCAATCTCGACGTTACTCTCGGCGGGAGTGATTCTAGCCAACCAGAGAGTTATCATTGCCGTATGAGACAAACAACTGCTTCTACCATAATATATATTACTTTATTGCCTGCCGAGACAGCTGATTTAACCTGTGAAAAATGATTAAATCTATAACGTTAAATAGGCACTGTGTTGATGCACGATTCATAAGGAAAACTATTAGACAAGGTAGCTAAGCATTAACAGTGAGAATACAGAACGCATGGCTGCGAGCAAAAAAAGCAGCCCACATTGCGAGTTACGTATTGGAGATGTCAACATCAAGTAGTTGTAGAAATGTAATGATCTGCCTTGTGTAGTAACATGCTACGTAAAGTGACATATAAATTTGACCACACATTGAAATAAGGAAAGATACGTTTCAAAAGCTAAGCAAAATATGCAAGGACCAGAAAAAGTTGTTAGAAACAAGAAAAGTAGTGCTGGACTTTATTAGCAAAGTTTCACCAATACAAGATCCAAGGATCAATCAAAGTAGAGTGGTACTGATTAAAATTGTGTTGTAACTGAGTTATAAAAAAAACAACAGTAAAAAAAAAACAGTATTGGTTTAACAAAAAGTTCATTACCTTTTGGTACGTGGTAACATAATGTAGAATAGAACTAGTGAAAAGAATGTTTAGCCGTGAACGACTGTTTCAAGAAAAGATACTGATCCCCTGCTACTCCTCTTGATGTGGGAGTATTTTTTATGTCTTTCGTCCGAATCCAAACTTGTAGGGAAACATTCTCCCTCACAAAAAAATTGTAAGAAAAAAGTTAGTGGGTAGTAGGACATATATCCATTGACTCCGGACATAAAGAAACCAAAATTTTAATTGTTTGAGAATAATTCTATCGGAAGCTTATTCTACAACGTAACAGTGCCAGGGAAGAAGCTGTCTGTGTAGAACTTGCTTTTTCTCAAAGGAACACGAAGAGAATGAGGGCTATTTGCTAACGCTAACCCGGCATAGCGGGTCCTTACGGTGAAGGTCCGAGCTAATTAATGTGGCAGCTGATCGGACGAGTTACATCCCTTAGTACTAGTGGCACTAAGGGATGTAACTCGTCCGATCAGCTGTCATAGTATTAGCGATATACTAGTGAAAGGCTGGCGACATTTCATCTGTGAGATAAAGGCAGCTAATTCATCATCCACATGACCGCGTAGGTGCTTTTGAACTCTGCGGAGGCTTGGCATTGAGTGTTGGACATCACCAGCAATGATATGGCAGCAGTACTCCATTTTGGGTCTGATTCTTAGGTATTTTCTAGCTCGATACAAAGAACTGACTATTCTTGCAGCATCTTTTGCGATGGAACGAATATACGAGTGCCATTTCATGTCGTGAGTTATCTTTAGCTATATCAGTTGTTTGAGGCAAGGATCCTCTTTGAGGGTACGACCACCGATCAGGATGGGGCACGTTTAGAGGATGTTTGGTGATGAAATATTTAGTTTTGCATGCATTGTATGATATCAGCCAGTTTCCCCATTGAGCCATGAGAGTTAGGTAAGAAGGGAGTTCAGTAGCCAGGTACTGGTCATTAAGATATTTTGGAGATGCCCCCATGCACTGTTGTATTATCTGCATATATATTTACTGAGAATTTGAGAGAGTTTTTGAGCAAATATTTAATATTGTTAAAGGGGAAAGAGTTATTTAGAGCAACAAAACAGAGGTTGTGGATAACTATGGTCGTCCATGTTTCTAGAAGAACATGGCGCATAATAAATTGAAGTAAAATTCCGCTAACAGAAAAGAATTTTTAATAGTTTTGGGACTACGCGTCTGTCTAGGTATATTCTGCATATAAAAAAAAAGGTTTTAATTAAGGAAAAATAGTACAGCTTTGTTTTTGGTTTTTGTTTTTGGTTTTTAGGGGTGTTTTTTTTTCTTCCTATATTTGATTTAAACACATGAAATATCACATCGGTCGAAGTTTTCGTATTGAACATCCGTCTATTAATATTCCTTCACGTTTTCGATGGTCTGTTCCTCAAAGACTTTTTATTCCTCTTTGAAAATGCGTTGTCTATGGAACAAACACGACTACTAATGTTGCATGAATAGAAAATGGAACACAATGATTTTGAAGCAAGGAAAACATCACATCAGCATTTTCAAAAGAAACTACCAATACACACATTTCGACTCATAGATAAGAATACAGAAAATGATCTGAGATTAAAACCAATCTATGGTACACACAAAAACCTATTGAGAAGAGATATGCCAAACATCGTAGAACAATTTTAGATTTTTCATTAAAGATCGTTCTCCGTCATTTGGTTGCAATGGGAAATGTGGAAAATGCTCAAAATATACAAATGGATCCTATATAAATGGAAGAAAATCAGAATCTGCATCGTTTTGAGGCGTACCTAGCCCTGTTTTAACTCTTACATTAACGGCATTTTAAAACGTTTTGTTACCTCTTGTGAATGTAGCTTTCCTTAGCAAAATAAAAAATCTGGACACTTTTTTTCGCCATAATCTCTTTTACATGTTTATAAATCTACCTTTCGACATTGTTTTGAATATTGCTGCCATATATGATCCGGTGCTCCTGCTATATATTCAAAGGTTCTTGGTAAAATTCCAATGAAGAATCTGCAATGTTATTTATTCTGACCTGTCATCTGGATTTCAGTTTTTTTTCCGCCACCGTAATGTCCCTTCCATTTGCCTTTTCTATATTTACTTTCATGATAATTTTTCTGATAAATTTTCCTGTGTGGTACCAAGACTCTATAAATTTAAGCGCAGTACTTGATTGGGAGCAAGTTTTCTTTTCATCTTTTTACATTTAAAATGGCTAGATTTAGCCATAAGTTCTATGCTAACAGTTTCTTCTGTCGAACTTGTAGAACTCTTTTCCACCTTCTTGCTTTCCGGCCAACTTTGATCTGCAAAGATTTAAATGCGATCTCAATCGTTATTTATTTTTTTCTTAATTCTTTTTCATTTATTATCTTTTCTTCTTAATATAATATCTTTTTCATATTCTCTAACATTCAGTAACCTCTTGTGTCTTGGTGGCTTTATTATCTTGCTTGAGGTGATATGATTAAAAAAGATTTAAATGGTTATTTTTTTTTTACTTTTAAATTGACTTTTCTTTAAATATATTCTGTTCTCTAAAAATCTGATATTTCATACCATACTGAAAATTTCTGCTTACCATTTTTACCTTTTCAAATGTCTCTCTTTCTAAGTCTCACCCTTTGTTCTCTTTTCTGTAGTCCACTTTATTCTCTCTTCTCCACTACTTCCCTTTCAACCCCTTCTCTGTGTTCAGTGATATTTCTTTCTCTCTCTTTATTTACTCTTTTCTTAAGCCTTTTATTCTCTCTTCTTCACCCCCCCACTTCCTTTATGTGGCTTTTGCATTTCTTTTTCAATTTCGCTTTGTCTTTAGTCCTCTTTCTTCTTTTACTCGTTCCTTCTCTTCGATTTACTACCCCGCTTTATTCATCTCCCTATCTCTTTCTTCCTCTCTCAAAATTTTAATTCTCTTTCATGTAAATTTCGTTATTTCTCTCTTCTTTAAACCTTTTTTTTTCTATTTTGTCTTGAAATCGTCTGTCTTTTACTTGTTCCTTCTTTTCGTTCTGCTACCCTATTTATTCATCTCGCTCTCATTTTCCTCCTCTATCTTTTTACTTTCTTTTTCTTATTTTTTTTATCGTTCCTTTTGTTCTCGCTCCTCCACGCCTTCATTTTCACTACATCTTTTTGCGTTCAATCCTCATCTTTTTACTAGTTCTTTCTCTACGATCTGTTACTCCCTTTCTCCATCTCTCTCTTTCTTTCCTTTTTATTTTCTCTTTTCTCCTTCTCCTTCTCAACCCCCACCCTAGTTTCTGCATATATTTTTGCCTTTCCTTTTTAGCCTATCTTTTTGGGTTCAATCCAATTTCCATTATTCACCCGTTCAATCCAATTCGCTTCATTCATATTCTTTCTCTCTTTCTTTCTCTCTTTCTTTCTCTCTTTCTTTTCTCCAACGAAGTATTTCGAAATATGTTACCATGGAAACGTCCCAATATTTACCGAACCCTAAAATGTTTATGGATGAGGGGGAATGAAAGAAGAAAATATATAAAAAAAAATAATGTGTACAAGAAGAAAAATGGAGGACACAAAATAGAAAGTGAAAAAAAAAAGCAAAACGAATTCATAACCGCCTGTTATCTTTTAGTCTCGTAGTTTGAATATCTTTATAATGAAATTAGATGAGAAGAGTTAAAAAAAAACAATGAGTGGAGGGGTGGGGGTTGTATTTATCAAGATACTTGTAGCATATGGTTTTCTGATTTATTCCAAAATAAATGCAGACATAAAGAAATATATAACATGTCCCAATGTGATGTCCGCCATAACAGGTCCAAGGCAGATAGACAGATAGATAGAAATGCATTGCATGAGAGAAAAGTGAATAAGATGATACATTCATACATACATAGAACAGACAGATATAAATAAAACGTGATATATATATATATATATATATATATATATATATATATATATATGTTTAGACATGTATGTCATATATAGAGAGATACACATATGTCTAATATATATATATATATATATATATATGACATGTCTAATATATATAGAGAGAGACATATGTCTAATATATATATATATGTCTATATATATAGAGAGAGACATGATATATATATATATATATATATATATGTCTATATATATATATATATATGTCTAATATATATATATATATATATATATATACATATATATATATATATATATATATATATATATGTCTATATATATATATATATAGAGAGACATATGTGTCTTATATATATATATATATATATAAATATATGTCTAATATAAGCATGTTCACTGTTTTCATATTTTTAACAGCATATAGCGTAATGAAAAATGCCACAAACTTAACTAAAATAAAGTATTATCGTCAAAATGCTCATGTTATTATTAAGATGAAAGACCAAAGTATTTTTAATTATTTTTTTGAATTTTTTAATCCTTTCTAACACGTTCGAAATTTTGGTTAAATTCTTCTTTTGTTTACGTTATCGCGGCGTCACAAAAATATATATCAATTTTTTTTTGTTTTTTTTCCGTTGAAAACATATTGATTTGGAAATTCTTGTAAAAATCAAGTAATTGTTCGATTTAATGAAATTTTCAGGACTTATTCACAAATGAATGAAATTATTTTGAAATATTTTTTTAGAAAATTTTGGTAAAAAAATATAATTTTTTAAATATATGTTACCTCACATTTACTTAATTTAATGAAATTTCGCCCAAAAAATCTTTTTGGTTCCTGAATTTTTTTTTTTTTTTTTTTAAAATGTAGGAGTCTTCGAAGATGGTAATAACCTACTTTTTTTTTTCAAATTTGAGCTATCTAACTGAAAATCTGCTCTGAATTGAAAAATAATGAATCAATAAAACTATGATATTACTTAATTAGAAAAGCTTTTAATTGCTTTTGTAAATAAGTAATATTAAGGACATATGTCTCTGAAATTTTTTTTTTCTGACGAATAATTAATTTTTACAAGTTTTTCGTTTTTAAGAAATTTTAATTATAATAATTTATAATATAGTTTAAAATCGTGTAAAACTCTGTATTAGGAGGGTTCCTCGAGGTGATGTAGTAATTAAGTGGAAAAAAAATTACGAGTCCAAAATTGCTAAATTTAATAAATTTAGTTGCGCTACTTTTTTAAAAATAATTTTTTATGTTCTATTTTTTTACTTAATACATTCCTTATTTCCATGTATGATATACAGAAATTGCCATTATTATAACAAGGTTACGTGATCTAAGGGTTTTGCCCCTTTACGTGGCCTTTTCATAACATTTCGTTTCTTACAGGTTGTATTTTCCGTTCAACTTTAAATTTTAAAGTAATTTTTCTTTTTTTCATTTACTATTTCACTAAATAATTTTATTTTATGCATTGTATTTCCATTAGTGTGTGTCATACTCAAATAGAATAATTTTTTAAAATATTCAGACTTAAAAATTATGTCATTTATGGTCATCAGTAGTAGCTGTCATCGGTTCGTCATTCAACAATCCATCAATAGTTTGATTGGACCGCTCGTTAATAATTGGTTGTATATTATTTTTTATGCTATAAGTAAGAAAAGATTTCTTTCAAATCAGATTACTTTAACTTTAATTTTTTAAATTTTACTAAAATAACGTGTCAGAAATTTTTTTAAATATTTTCAAAATCGATAAATTTCTGTTTTAAGAAAATGGCCGATTTTAAGAAAATTTAAAAATTTTAATTTAAACTTGACAATCAAATGTATATAGTTTCTATCTGAAATACACCAGAATTGTTTAATTAATGGAAATCATAAATTTAATGATTAAACATTTTTTAAAGCTAAAATAAAATCTTCAGGAATGTTTTTTCGTTGTAAAAAATTCATTTTAAACTTAAATATAAAAAAATTATGCTGAAATAGTGGAGATACCTAGTCTAATATAAATATATAGACATATATGTCTAATATATATATATATAGACATATATGTCTAATATATATACATATAGAGATATTTAAATTACAATAAACGTGCAATCAATTTACAAATACATGAATTATTCACATGAATTATTAATGATTTAAATGGCAAAACTATCGCAAACAATTCAAATAGTATAAAAACCTGATTTAAATTTTGTATATACATATCATCGCAAACAAAATATATATATATATACAAATGTCTAATATATATATATATATATATATATATATATATATATATATATATATATATATATATATATATAGAATATATATATATATATATATATATGTCTAATATATATATATATATATAGACATATGTCTAATATATATATATATATATATATATATATATATATATAGACATATATATATATATATATATATAGACATATGTCTAATATATATATATATATATGTCTATATATATATATATATATATATATATATATAGAATATATATATATATATATATATAGTCTAAGATATATATATGTCTAATATATATATATATATATAGATATATGTCTAATATATATATATATAGACATATATGTCTAATATATATATATATATATATATGTGTGTGTGTGTGTGTGTGTGTTAATATATATATATATATATATGAAAATTTCTCTGATTTAACCAGTAGAGAAGACAATATTTATCTATATGAGAGAGAGAGAGACAGAAAACTTGATAGAATTAGACATATAAATAAAATGTGATAGATAGAATCACATAGAATTAGATGAAAATAAAATGATAGATAGAAGTGCATAGAATTAGATGCTAATAAAATAATAGAAATGAATAGAATTAGATGTGAATAAAATGATAAATAGAACGATAGATGAATTGAATGAGAAAGATATAAAGTGTGATAGATATTATCAGACTGAGAGAGAATAAGAGTGTTCGATAGTTAGGGACAAATATACAACCATATAGAAAATTACATATTCCGATTGCGGAATATAAAACTTTATATCGGTTATTCAAAAAGGACACAAAATTAGTGCTATTTATGCGCCGACGGAAATGATTTCTCGCCCGATCTGCCAGTGAAATTCAAAGATTAACTACTAGAACGTTATGTAAATCTGCAGACAATTGACAATAGAACCAGATTCGATACCCGGTATTGCATCGATCAAATACCCGTCCTTTAATTCCCGGCACTACGCAACGCAGTCGATGTTTTTTTTTTTTTTGACAGATTTGCGTATGTCTTAAAATGAAACTATTGTTGCAAATATGGGTAATGGTTTGTTTCGTATATGGCTTGTTTGGTAGGATAATTTATAATATTTGATCAATTTCCAAAACTGACAATTAAGATTGACAATTAAAAAATCACTGCTTACTTCCTTTCATAAAATGTTTACTTAAAAAGTTGCGACCGAAATACTAAATTCAGAAATTCGTTTTATTTGAAAAACTAAACAATTAAACAATAAGAATTACTAACTAATGTAATTATAAAGTCCATAACCAAAAGCAGTGTTTATTTATACTAGTCAAAGGAACTAGGCAGTAAATCGAAATTAGAACATATTTTTCAAGTTTTAATATACATACATATATATATATATATATGTGTGTGTGTGTGTGTGTGTGTGTGTGTGTATAATATATACATATATTAAATATAAAACTTAACAACATTGAACCTACAATAAACTTCACTCTCGAAACTGAAACCAACTACACTCTTCCGGACCTTTTGTTAATTAGAAATAACAACGAACTCAATTTTGACGTTTACAGAAAGGCTACAAACAAAAATGATCTCATCAGCTTCTACTCAAACCTCCCTTCAAAAATTAAATCTGGAATTATTATAGGTTTCTATCTAAGAGCATTAAGAATCTGTAGTCCTCAATATTTATTTAAAAAAAAACATACATAGAAAACACATTCAAAAACCTACAATACCCATATCATTTCATCCACAACGCAAGAAGAAAGGCATACAAAATATACAAACGAAACAAAACTAATAACACAATCCGCAATAGTAAATCACATGAAAGCAGATACATAATACTACCGACCAATTCTGCCACGTCCACGATCCAGAATAACCTATCCCATCTAAATAATCTTGAAATAGTCACAAACACCTCCAAAACCATTATAGATATACTAAGATCTTCAAACAATAATAGCACTAATATTTTCTGAAACAGGCATTTATAAAATAAATTGCCAAAACTGCTCCTCCCAATATATTGGAGAAACAAGTAGAAGTTTGAAAAAATGCATTTATGAGCACAAAAGAGACCTCAAAAAAACAACTTAGCTAATGCAATAGTCATACATAGAAATAAATACAAACCATAATTTTGATTTTAAAAATGCTACACTCATAAAAAAAAAGAAAATAACTCACTCAGAAGGAAAATTCTGGAGAGTGCCGCCATAGAAAATTATCCAAATATTAATTTACGCCCAGGCTTTTTCCCTATTTCACCTTTCTTAACAAAATTAATGCTCTTACAAACAAATATGCACAACAGATTCATAAAATCGAAAGAAAATGGTTGAATACATCAACACAGATATAATGACAATATTCTCCACACGTGACAATCTCTGACGTCATTTTTCATTTAAAAAATATGAAAATAGCGTTTCTCTACATTCCAGTTGCTAGGTACATTCTGTTTTTGTTTTTATTAAGTTACGTTGTTCATTTAATTTCATTTTTGTATTTTGCTTTGATAAAGTCCACATTGGACGAAACGCGTCAGCAATTACCAGTTTTCCTATTGTCATTTTTATTCATAAATTAAATATAATATATACATATATTAAATATAATATATATATTAAATATAATATATATATATTAAATATAATGTATATATTAAATATAATATATACATATTAAATATAATATACATATATTGAATATAATATATACATATATTAAATATAATATATATATTAAATATAATATATACATATTAAATATAATATATATATATTAAATATAATATATATATATATTAAATATAATATATATATATTAAATATAATATATAAATATAAAAGTGATCTGTCGCCTCTAAGTGTTGACTTCAATCTTCACTTTTATATTTACACACGCTCTATCTCTGATATTGAGCACTTTATCCCATAAATATAGCATACCTTAAGACTATATTTCTTCATAATATATATATATATATATATATATATATATATATATATATATATATGAAATCCTGCATCCAGTTGCTAAGGCTACTATTGCTTTCAGCAAACTTCGCCATTGCCTGTGGAATGAGCGGGTTATTCTACTGGATAGGAAAATTCGGGTTTACAGAGTTGTTGCCCTTGCCATCTTTTTGTACGGCTCAGGGTCGCGGACTCCATACAGGTACCATATACGCCAGCTGGTATATATACTACGTGCCACAAGGTCCCAAGCAAGATTTCCCAGGTTTTGAATTCAGATTTGTCTTTCTCCTAGACCAGTTGCCATCCAAGGCTATAGAACCCATATGGTGGGAGAAGACGTTTCATACCTTTCCCAAGGGTATTAGCACGTAAATGAATGTAATCGGTTCGACTGGAATTCGAACTCGACTCCGAGCAATCAGTTCGAGCCTACCCAATACTCCACTATGCCTCCTAAATTGTTCGCTTATCTTATGATAAGTTTCCTTTGACTGTCTCTACTATAGGTTTGGCCGAATTACACCCACTCTTCGAAAGACTTGTTGAATTAAACATAATGTCTCCGGAAGGCTGTCATAAGATAAATGAAAAATGTTACTCTATCTTATTTATTACTAATCCCTTGTTACGGTTTTTTGGGTATATATGTCCACATAACTAGTGAGCGAGTCAGAATGACTTATTTCCCTTTATAGTCGACCAATAGAAGGTTGACCAATCAGAAGCCGCACAACACTGTATTCGTCGTGTATAAAGGCGGCCATCTTTGTTTCTTCTAGCGGAAGGACCAGAGGCAACTTGTCCGGCGAACATGACAAACGGAAGAACTACGCTCTGCTACGATATCCATTGCGAACCTGCACTACGCTTTCCTACTGTCTCCGAAATATTCACTGCCAACCTCTGGATTCTATACTCGAGGGCGATGAAAGTGTCTAACACCCTAAGTTGGACAAGATATGAGATACATGCCTGTAAATAACTAAATAATAAGCTTAAATTTCTAATGTTATTCCGGGAGTTGATGATGATCAGAAAGTATTAAATGCACCTATTAACATATGAAATAATAATTTAAAAATTTATTAACATATATGACACACTACGTTGATCAAATATATATATATATATATATTTATTTCTTATCGTTTATATCTTTTAGGAATATTGTTAAATAAAAAATGGTGTTGCACTACGTATATTCCTTAATAAAAGCTGATACCCAACAAAAGTTTCGCTCAATGTTTTTATTTTTTTTAATAAGGATAGATATCAAGAAGCTGAAATACCCATGAAAATATAAGCATATCCTGAAATTTTTATCACCATTGCCTTGTTAATACCAATTTTAATCTCGCAAAAGCTGAGGTTTTAAAAGCTAAATTAGTATATAGTATATTTTTCAGTTCAAACAGCGATATAATATAATGGGATTGCTTTTAAAGAATTTAACTTTTTAAATCATCTATCTTTTTAATTGCTTTTCTTTTATTGTTCTCTCTCGTTAATAATGTTTTCATATTCTATCACACTAAGTACCCACCCTTGCGTCTTAGTGGCTTTATTGCCTTGCTTGGAGTGAAATGATTTTAAAAAATAAGTATAATCTAGCAGCGATCCAATTAAAAACTATTTTTAAGCAGTTCAGAAAATTAGTTTAATATTCAGATTTCAAATATTCTTGTGAATTAAACACAATTTAACCTAACAATCAATGGAGTTGACCTAACTGCCCAGGCTTTAATACTCTCTATTTATTTGAGATTATGATACCATTAAGGAAACTCTTGTAGTTTTTAACGTCGCTTTCACAATGACTCATTGATTATTTGTCTCGCACAGGTATTTTTACAGGTAGGCGTAGAAATGGAAGAAGTGGGTCAACCTGACACATCTATATTCCTTATTTTACTCCCGTTGATTTCTAGCTTTTTTCCAGAGCTAAAATCGACGTTAATACATCGTGGATGAGATTAAAGCGAATTCTATGATGCGGCTGATGGCGATCTCGAGAGAATTTTGAAAAGTAGAAGAGGGTCTGCAATAAGTGCATGAGATCCAATGGAGAGTGTCTTTCCATAGGATTCGATTACGTCTTCCGTCATGTACAAGGGCTTGACTGTCTCTTGTACACGCTTCGTAGTCAAAGATGAATCGGGTAGATTTCATCACTTTGTTGATTATTTCAAATACAGAAAATTATTTTACATTCATCCATTTGTTATGCTTTACTTTTCACACGTTTTCCTTCTGTCGCTTTCAGATTATTAAACGGCGAAATCGAAGCACGGATTCTACTTGCCTCAGAAGTTTCTACCATCAAACAGTAAATCGTAAGTAGGAATTATCTATGTTAAGAAACGCATTACTTTAGTCTTTCAATTGCCATATACGAGGGATACTCCGAATGTAATGTCTCATATATTAATTATTTTTAAATAATTTAATTTTTTAAATGATGTTATTACTTTACATTGATGTCAAATATTTTAATATTATTTTATTATTATTATTATTATTATCATCAATTTGTAATTGTGACGGTTAGAATGCGTTAACGATGTTTTCGCTGCTTAAAATGAATACACAATTTCCATGTATCTATTTTGAATAGGGTCACCCCCTTTCTTCACTTTATTTTTTAACTTGTCTAGTCCGGGGAGGGGGGAGAAAAGATTTTCTGGGTCACCCTTTCGACTGGCTTAACTCCTTTCTTTCCCTCTCTCACTCTCTTTCCCTTTCCTCTCCCCATTTCTACCTTTCTTTTACTTCCCCCTAAGAAACGTTATATTGAAATCTTTGTTCCCTTTTTTTCTTTCCCTTTTTTTCTTTCCCTTTTTTTCTTTCCCTTTTTTCTTTCCATTTTTTTCTTTCCCTTTTTTCTTTCCCTTTTTTTCTTTCCCTTTTTTTCTTTACCTTTTTCTTTCCCTTTTTTTCTTTCCCTTTTTTCTTTCCCTTTTTTCTTTCCCTTTTTTTCTTTCCCTTTTTTCTTTCCCTTTTTTTCTTCCCCTTTTTTTCTTCCCCTTTTTTCTTTCCCTTTTTTTCTTCCCCTTTTTTTCTTTCCCTTTTTTCTTTCCCTTTTTTTCTCTCCCTTTTAATATTAAAACATTTTTCCTTTTTCTCTCACTTCCTTATTTTTCTTTTCCTTGTGTCGGAATAAATTTATTTTTTTTGTAAAATTTGATCTGAAGAGATGGACGTCTGAGTCGACGAAATATATTATCACCTGATTAAATAGATTTTTAAAAGTTCTGTATCCATTATATATATATATATATATATATATATATATATATATATATCCCATCCCATCCATCCTCTAATTCTTCACACGCCAAATCCTGGAAACCGCTTCAGTAGGCGGGCCAAATCGCGTGAAATTACCATCGAAAGGCGCTGCACTCTTCTGTGCACTGGTAATACCTGAGAGGTGTAACTCCGTTATAATAAAACCTGAGGGGTTGTTGTTCATTGCGTACGTGGCAAATATTTGCAACAACTCCTTGTTATCAGAACTTCCAATAAGTGTGGTTGGTTCTACACAAGCCTTCACCACTCTGTATGGATAGTCTGGAATCCAGTTCTGTGTTTCTTCTTTACTATTCCAACTGAGGAACAAGTCCACTGGCGAGAGAGTTCAGGCGCCGGGGACAGGTACAAGATTAAAAACTGAACTGAAAGACACTCATACGTCGAAAAAACGACGGAGAGTCCATCATGCACACACACACACACACACACACACACGTATATATATATATATATATATATATATATAACAGCTTGGATTGAGGAATCGCAGAGCCGAGTTCTATTTCCAGTCGAATCCATTACATTCACTTACGTGCTAATACCCTTGGGAAAGGTATGAATCCTCTTCTTCTCCCTCCAGCTATGGGTAAAATCGCAGGACAGACTGGGCTCTATAGCTTTGGATGGCAACTGGTCTAGAAGAAGGACAACTCTGAATTCAAAACCTGCGGAGGGTCGTTTGGGAACCTTGTGGCATTCGGTGCACCAGGTCTCTGTATTCGTCGCTTCAAAAAGTGTGGATGGTTCTGCACGAAGCCTTCACCACTATAATCAAATCTCATGTACTGTTGCCGGGCTGTCATTTTACGAGGAACTGATCTGCTTGACCCTCATACGTCGAATCTCGACGGGAGAGTCGACTACATATATATATATATATATATATATATATATTCCTATATATATGTTTCCTTTCGGGAAAAATAAAATAATAAATAAATCTCCATAGACACTTAACCAGACTAGACGATGTCATCTTCCGCTTTGAATTTAGACACCCCAACCTTACCCTGACTTGACCTCTTTGAATGTAACTAAGATATTGATACAAATTATTAACCTTTACGCATCTTTTTTAAATAATTGCTCTAGCCGTTACCACAGTAATTTTAATTTTAATAATGAATATGCTTATAAAACGCGTAAATTTCAAAATTAGTTATTCAAAAAAAAATTTCAACGAAGATGGAACAGAGCTTGGTACTTTAATTCAATTTAATTCAAATAATTATATTGAAGTTTTCGGCTCTTGTTTTTAAACACGAGAACTCTTATGTAGCGATGGAATCGTATTTTTAAATGAATAATTATATATATGTATACATATATATATATATATATATATATATATATATATATATATATATATATATATATATAATACGCCAAACCTTACAACTGGGAGTTTTTATACACTATGCAATTATCACTTATAAAGGAACTGGCCGTTATCTGGTTAAAATTTCTGGGTTTCGTGGTGTTATTTGTATAAATTATTACTATTATTAAATATTTAATTGTGCTATAATTGAAATTTAAGTTCAATTTTAGATTTAAAATTAAAATAACAATTTCAGTTTAAAATTTAAAAGCTGAGAACGCTGGTTGTTAAATACATTATGCATCAAGGGGAATAACACTTTTTTACCTGTGGTAAAACAGTTGAAAGTATATAGCGATTGTTTTTATACCAATAAGTTATAAAATAATAATAATATATAAGGTCTTTTTTTTTATACAGCTTGTAGTTATTAAAAACAAGGATCATAACATTCATCGAGTCATTTGTAGGTTAATGCAACTTTAAAATTTTGTTTGAGAAAGGATTTCGCCATGTTATATCATTAACTTCACTAATCTACTTTTTGTATGAATGATTCGTTGTAATATATATTGAACTCCACCACATATTTGATATATATAGTTTCATATATATATATATGAAGAAATATAATCTTAAGGTGTGCTATATTTATGGGATAAAGTGCTCAATATCAGAGATAGAGCGTGTGTAAATATAAAAGTGAACATATAAGTCAACACAGACACCAGTCTGTTTGTATGCTATACGCAATCGTCAGAGACTGATGATTGCATATAACATGTTCACTTTTATATTTATATATATATATATATATATATATATATATATATATATATATATATATATATATATTACAATGGATTTTTTCATAATCCGACTGATTTTTATCACTTTAAACGTTATTGTTATGAATACTTTTGTCTTTAAGTAGGCGTTCCGTATAGTAATTAAACAGAATATTTACTTTCGTCTACCTGCCTGAATGTTCAAGAAATCTTATTAAAGAAAGATTTGCGCTCTCCATCGGGAATCGACCCTGCTTACGTTAGGGCAAAGGGTACCGGTTTTATGTTTACGTTTGGATAAGAAATGGTGCTGATATTAAAAACTTTGAGAGGTCTATGCGGTTGAAAACACGAAACTTGGCTTCGCCTAATCAAATATTTCCCCTGGCCAAGTTAGTGAGGCGTACCGGGCTAAAAGGTAGCCCTGCCCCGAGAAAAACAGGTTTAAATCCTGCCGGAAAGCGCAAATTTTTTAATAAGTGATAAATACACACACACACACACACATATATATATATATATATATATATATATATATACCACGGATGCTACAACAGTTATAGGTTGTACGACACCAATAGATAAAGCAAGTTTTAAGTTACAAAACATTATTTCACCACAGCCATCTTCATTGCCTACGTAATTTCGCCAGCGATGAGAATGACTCTACATGCGGCGCCCGTAAAAATTATTCGTCTTAGACCAACAACGGATACAACCTCTGTTTGCTCCCTAAACCTTCAGCAATGACCGATGAATATCAATAGGTGCAATTCTTCCCGTACAGAGAAAGACAATGACATGACTATGTTTCGCACGCATTTTCGTATCAGACGCTACTTTGCCAGACTACGGGGATATGAAAGAAAACAAAATTAAAATTATGCGTTATTGGCTGGATGGTTCAACTTTTTTTTCTAAAGCTTACTATTTCTTCGTGGATTATTTAAAGCCGAAACATATTTCGATTAAGAAGAGGGTTTCTACAGTACCTGTTATTCCCAAGCAGTCTCCCATCAAAGTACTGGCCAGGTTCTACGATGCTTAACTATAATGATCGAACGAAAACCGGTTAAACGTCTAAGAATGTCAACTATATTGACACCGTAAGCCAACTTCATAATATCGGAGGCATACTTTCGGAGAAAACCTCGTATCTTTTCCAACACAGAATTTATTCTAAGGTCAACTGTCATATAAAAAAAATCTGACGGCATATATAAGCTTAAAACTTTGCATTCCTCTTTTATTCTATAAAAAATCGCCATTTTTTATGTCCACAGGATCGACAGTTTGTAATTTTGATATCTGCTTTTCGCTGTTTTATGTGTCCACTAGATTAATTTACCGATCGACAATTTGTAATTTAGGTATGTGCTTTTCGCATCTCTGATGGTTTGGGAATGTCAAAGAATTAAATTATCTTTATCTTTAAACCTAATCATTACTCGTTTGCTAAAACAGAATGTCTGTTTTTCTACGAGATATCGTTTGGTATTAAAAAGGTCCATGATTGATGTTATACGCGTTTCTTTCTCTGTGTGTTTCATAGGCTATTAATCACTTTCACTGGTATTTATGACTTGGAAAAATCAAAGTAATCAACGAAAACAGTGCGAATTATTTTCAGAGCAAGATAAACTGTAATTTTCTACTGAAAATCTGGCATTAAGGTCATGTCCATTGTGACAATTTTAGAAAGAAAGCTGTTCATAATGAATTCATTGTTTCTGCAAATATTTCCAAGCTCTTTTCCGTAGTGCCCCAACTGCATGAATTTACTAGGTTGGCATTTAGTTCCCACCGGTTTACTGTTGAAATCACTAAATGCTGCCGCCATTTTTACTCCAAAAGTTTCTTTTTCTCGCATTCCTCGCCTGTGGAACACCCTCATGTTTATTACCTTCCTTTTTAACTGCAATCTTCAAAAATTTAAATACAGCGTCAGTCGCCATTTTCTATACTCTTGAGTCCCATGCATCTTTTCTCAATCCTCTCTTTATATTCCTTTCACTCCCTGTAACCTCTTGCGTACTAGTGCCTTTGCTTAGGGTGAAATGATTTTTTTTTTTTTTAAAAAGATGGTTTGAACAGTCCTCATTTCAAACTTTTCATGTAAAGTTATCGTCACTTGTTAATTCTGACGTCGCTAAAATGAAACATATCTCAAGTAATCATCTTAAAGAACTATTTTCCCTCTTGTAAAGGTACAGGATAGGTATTTATTGAAGCGGTACAGGTTGCCGACTATTTTACTTGTATCTTTAGTGATGGCTCGTGTGTACGAGTTCCATTCAGGTGAAGCCTAATTGCCACGATACCTCTCGAAAGAGACATTCGTTCATCGTAGTTCGGGATCCAATCGGCGATGATTGAATGCGATTAGTTTGGTTTTCGAGACACTGAATGTAACCAGCCAGTTTCTTTACCCACTGGATAGTTCTTGTTCTATCGGAAGAGAGTTCAGCTGCCAATCTCTGATCATCAACAGTTTTACAGGGGCATCAGTATATAGTTATAAACAAAACTTATATACCGTTTACTTTAGATGTTGATGTGAAATTACTGATGAAATGGAAATCTGTATTACCTTTTAACTGACTGATTAAATGACCACAGTCGGGATCTTAGCATCCTTGCAAAATCCCAAATCCTTTCATTAGCTGCATTTTATGTTTTGAGAGGGCCACATACAATTTTCAGGTGACCTTCTACTAGACTGGATGCCAATCAAAGCTGAAGAACTCAGTCTTATCTACTTTTTAACCCATAGTTTCGGGAGCCAGATATAGATTCATAGGACATTTACAAGAAGTGAATATAAAGTAACACGAACTATTGAAATCTTAAATAAAAATAATAACAAAGAAATTCGTTGGTTTTAAATCAAATGTGAATAAATAAAAATACATCCAAATATATATATATATATATATATATATATATATATATATATATATATATGAAGATGAAAGATGACTACAGTTTCGATCCTAGAGTGATTGTGAACTCCATGATCCTTTTATTATAATGCATAGTATGTGCTTCATCAGGATTACGTACGGTTTTCAATTCAGACATGACCTCCTTCTAGACTGGTTGCTAATCAAGGCTGAATTTCCCAGTCTTCTCTACATTTTAACCCATAGCTAGTGGAGCCATATATAGATCCATACCGTTCCCAAGGATATTTGCGCGAAAGTGAGTATAAACAAACTCGACTGGAATTCGAACTGGGCACTCGTTCCCCGCCGCTAGCCGCTACACTGCCCGCAAGTCTGTGCAAGTTTATAAGACCAATTAAATGAATTGATGTATTCTCAACTGGAAAAAAATGTCCTTTTGAAAAACGGAAAAGCAAGAGTTATAATAATGTCGGCGACTTGAAATCCCATTGGTGATACTGTGTATGATCAACAGACAAGACTTATATTCAGCAACATATCGTGTGGCTTTAGTATCGGTTATGACTGCTTAGCCCCAGGTAAGAAAAGGTAGATAAATTGACGAAGAAGCATCCAAAGAAAAAAAAAACGAATTCCGCTCAAATTCTACCTTTTCGTGTGTCCGTAATTGGTCAGATGAGTGGAAATGTGGACACATTATCCTTTGATCGGACTTTTACTCTCCCGCCATTCTATATACGAATAATGCTATTAGTTTTTCTTTCCATACGAGAATATAGAAATATACACTAATATTTTATATCACAATCTGCCTGTATATGGACAGGTAAATGTGCATAAGCATATGAATATTGGTTGCATAAAATTATAAACTTTCAAACATGGATATAGATATATGCATATATGATTACAAATATATATATATATATATATATACACTAATATGGGCATAAATGTTTGCGTGCGTTTCTATACTTACTTTACTTTGTCTCTCTTCATATTCCCCTGATGAATTTCTGATGCTTCTAGCAAATATGTAAAGAAAAATTATTTTAAATTTTGTTATTGATCTACATATGGAAACCAAAGAAAAATGTCTACATTTCAAAGCTTGTTCTTATTTTAGCTGAACATTCTTAGAAACTAATTCCAACCATTATTGTTTAATGGATTTTACATGCATTTAACTTGATTCTTGAAAGATTAATCTCTGGCATTAATTTTAGGTGCATGATTTTGTTTCTATTTACACTATCTACATTGTTCGGACATCTTTATTGTCATATTCACCATGTTTCAGCAGTTGTACGCCCCGGTCTTCTTCAGATGGCATGCGTTGGAATTTCGAACTGAACCCTTTGCGTCGCTAGTTAATTGCGTATCTCTGATAATTTTTGAAGCTTTTAAAGTCAATTACCATAAATTTTAAAAAAAAGGAATAAAATATAAAAAATTAAAAGTTTATTTTTGTTTCAAATGAAGTGACAGATTAACAGTGTTTGCAAGATCGCTCTACACATCGCCATTATGTTTTTGTTTCCTCGTCGTTTTTTTTTTTTTTATCATAGTGGTAGCTGTAATTTTACTCGTCCACAAATATTTTTCCACTAGTGTTTGGTTTTCGAAACTTAGCTATGGGTTCCAAATAAAAATATACTCTATAAAATTCAGAATCTATTAGATGTTTGTGGTACGCATGGCTGGAGGGAACTGAAACTGACAGCTTAATTTTCTCCTGCTTTAAAAAAGAATCATTCTATCTCTTTTTTATTTATAGTAACTACCTTTCTGTTTGTTTAGAGTAATTAAAGGTATTGGTGTACTAATTTCTATATCAATCAACTCTTTAAAAAAGAAAATGGTAACTTCAAAAAATTATCAGAAGTACGCAATTATCCAGGGACAAATTTGTCTATGTATGCAAATGTCCGTTCACCGCTAAAATTGCTGGGGAAATAGTTAGTTCCCAGTACTGCTCCAGCGAGTACCTCATTCCATCTGCTATCCTTTAAGATTAATAGAGCCAGATCAGGCCGAAAATAGAGTACTCCTGCCATATATAGGCGTGAGCTGCCCAATTCTCACTTTCCGCACTCAACGAGTTATTTTCCACTCTGCAACCGTTTCTCACAGATGAGACATCGCAAGCCTCTCCCTGCTCTATTGTTATTTATATGTAGAGTTTTCGGATAAGCTACACTCCTTGGATCCGCCAGTCCTTAGCTTCATGGTTGACATCCGCCACGCCACTCTCATTGTAGCGAACGACTCCTCAATCCTACCGTATTCTTCTGGTGAGATGTAAATTCCAACTACTGCCTTATAGAACCGACTCCCAAAAGGATCTTTTGGCGATCTTAACCTGTTCAAGTCTAGTGTTAACCGTTATATCCTACGCATATCCCCATAAACTGTGCCTCTTACTCTTTAGCCATCTACCTCGAGTGGCCCTCGGGGTTTGTAGAAGTTGAATATCACTGCACTGTAAAAAGATATATCTATCCAGCAGTTCTTTGCGACGCACTTTATCAAACACTTTTGCATAATCTATAAAACAGGCTCATTAATACTGCGTTTAATACTCACTGAATTTCCTAAAAAATATGTACTTGAGTTAAGCTCTCTCGAGTTTTATGAATAACAATTTAGCTTGTGTATACAAGGTAATGGGTTGGTCACCGTGATACTCAGGATAATCTCAAGAACGCTATAATTGTAGCCTTTTACCAGATTAAATTAAACTTAATAAATGATTATAAAAAAAAGCACATCAACTGGGAAGGATAATTTTAGCGCTTGACGCAATGGAATTGTCAGAATGCTTGTTCATTTCTAGTGAATTTATTCTTTGCCGTGTCTTGTATCCAGCATCGGCTTTGTATTGGTGAATTTCAAAGAGTAACAGGAATAATGACGTACGTGAGAAACTAAGGAAAGAGTGGAAAACTGTTATGGAAAATCAATCTCTCTATATATAAGGTAGGGTGTTTGTGTGTGTGTGTGTGTGCGTGTGTGTGTAACGAATGCACGGCCGCGACTTTCGACGGATTTGCACCAAAATTTACATGCACATGCTCCAAGTTAGCGAGAAGGCCAAGACCGACTTTGCATTTTCCAACTCCCATCGATAGTGGAAATAATCGATTTTTTCATGCTTCTACGGCAGT